AGCACGCCGATATGCTGACCAAGGTCCTTGGTAGGGGCAAGTTGGAGTACCACCGGAAGGCTCTGATGAACCTGCCGATGTAGGGTTCTGGTGTCGTTTTCGTGGCGTTTGTTTTGTTTTGTTCTAGCAGTGGNCCGGGGAGGGTGTTCGTGTGTCTGGATACGAGCATGGTAGATCTGCTAGCAGCACGGGGGGGTACGTAGACAGGAGCATGCGTATGCCTGAAAAAAGCTACTATGTGTGGGCCCCCTTCCCCGAATTCGGGAGGGCCACTTCTTCCCTTCCTTTCCTCGCTCCCGCGGGTGCCTAATCAGAGAGAGTTAAAGCGTGTCTTCTCCTCCCAAGTACGGACATACCAACAACAGGGTGCCCATAGGGTTCACACCTTGGCGAGACCCTGTAGACTAGGGGTACAACCTTGGCGAGACCCTGCAGGGTTCGCGTCTTGCCAGGGCGGCAGGCTTGGCAGGGTGGCTGGGTACCAACCATGGCAGGGGATTAAAAGTGCACCTTGCACGGCCCTTGGATATTTGCATGTTATTAGACGGATTCCACCTCGGGAAAGAACGTACGAAAAAAACGTGTTTCGCCAAGAACACGTGTTTCGAGGTTCCGCCGCGCCTTTTCGTGCGAATTTCTGCAGTCGTCCAGCTCGTCCTGCTTTTTTCCATTTGGTGCTTTTTCTTTTCCGCGTTTGAGAAATACAAACTACGTGCGCGCACACGCACACATCCACCTTACCGCACGACACGTACTCCGAGAGCATAGCTATCAATCCCTGAGGCAACTGGTGTGGAACCGGCACGCGTTGGGGTTATTTCCGGTGAACGATTGTGTTTAAAAGAACATGCTGGGGGCGTGCGTGGTGGGCGTGGTTGGGACAGCTTTTCACCCGCACTAGTGACCGCGGTAGCCGCCTCTCCTACGGCGGACTTCGTGTGCATCCCCGCCCCTTGAGGGAGGTAGCGAGTCATCAGTCACACCAGCGGTCAAGTGCTTGGAAGTCAGGGTTAGCACAGTTCACCCGGCGGCGTGGTTCGAGTTGGGAGCGTGGTTGGAGTTGGGAACGCATTGGAGTTGCCGCATTGCCACTACCGCCAGAACGAGGAAAAGCTCCTCTTCTCCAGCCACCGCACACAGCAAAGCCGCCGTAATCATCTGCATGATTTGGCCATGCCTCTCATGCCGAATCTTACCACGCTGTAGGCGCGCCATTTGCTTCAGGGCGTCAACGCGCGTGCCAACATCACGCCAAATCACGCCGCCGCGTGTTCCATGTTTTGCGGAAAATAAAATAAAGCGAGGGGGTACTGATGTCCGAAAAAATATCAAGAGCACGGGGGGGGGTTCCAACCGGTACTAGCGGGGAGACAGCGAAACACGATTTTTCAACCGTCACTTTCTGAAACGCGTTTTTCCAAACACGTTTTTTTTGTGCGTTTTTAAGGTGGAATCCCTAGATTGTCTGATGCCTACGGTATCAACCCAAAAAAAAGAATAGAAAGCAGGACGAAGCCGACTTGTACGGTGCGAGCGAGCCCAAGCGCGTTCGTTCGCAGATGTTCATGCCGGCGATGTCTCTCAACCATGCCACAAGATGCACGTATAAACCCGCGCCAGACGAAGCTATACATGTACGCGACGAGTGTTCAGGCACGACATGCACTGCGAGAGAAGTAGCGTGAACACATTGCAACACGGCATCAACGCCCCTACCCCACCGATACGCGACAACCAAAACACGCGTGGGCATTGCAAAACGGCATCAACGCCCATACCCCACCGACATGAGACAAGGAAATGCAGGGGAAAAGCAATGGCACAGCATCACCTCTCTCTATGGGACACACAAAAAGCGACAAGACACAGGCGAAGCAAACATGGCGGTGCTGTACGACACGTACGTGCCGAAGTCGCCCCCCGCATACGGGCACGCGAACACAAGATACTACGTTTAGTGTTGCGAGGGGCTCTGCATGTTCGCGCCACACTCCAGTATATAGTCAATAATATCCAGCAGCAACCTCCAGGGCTTTCCCCCCCTCCTTCACAAACCACTTGAGACTATCTGTATCACGCCATACTTGAGCAATGGTAGATACAATAATGCAATAATGCTGCCGGGTTGATAGGCCCAGTAGCTGCATCACTAGCCTCTACTTTCGACGCAACTGTCAATCGGGATAAGCACCCCCGTCCCCATGCAAGTGCACAAGTGCATCTTGTAGCGTTGCGGGAAAAGCCATGGGTCGGACTTCGGGAGAAAATGAATGCAGCAAGATTATTCCTGGCCTATGTAGACGTGGGAATAAATCGAAGTTGTCCATGGCACCTTCTAGGCCTCGGTTGGTAGTGTTGAGAGGAAATCTGCCAGGTAAAATGCAGTACAACGTGCAAACACCCATTGTCACCTGCGCGAGGAAGCACTCGTGAAGCAGGTCCTGCCCCAAAAGGTGCCCCTTCGACAGTAGGTACTCGTCGAAGCCAGGCGTTCCTCGGTGAATCGCCACATCATGTCCCGAGGGTGCTAGAATTAGCATCAAGCAACACAGGACGCGCCCCCGAACGAGAACAATAGCACCGTGCGGCCGTGTAAGACCGCACCTACCTACCTGCACTCGCTACCAAGGACACAATTACCTCAATACCCAACGATTCGTGCGCTGCGAGGAACGCCATTTTTGCCGTGCAAAATAGTGTGCTGCTTCGCGTACGCCACACGACTCCGCGCTCTCCACGCTGACCAAAATCCGATGATAGCTCCGAGAATGTATGGTGGCGGCGCCATCACCCCCCTGCCCTTCGCACCGCCAACTTGTGCCGTGGTATCTAGCTCTAGGTCTAGGTCGCCGTGTCGTCGTCGGAGGGGTTAGGCCCCCTCCATGTTGTACATACTGGACAACTTTCAACAACCTCGTCATTCGCGTCCTTCCATGCAAAGAAAGCTTCGGCGATCTCCTCCTTCCTGTACGCACTATTTCTGAGTGCGCTACCTTCTAGTGGTCAAGAAGCTTCAAAACCTCGAGCTTCTCGCCAAAGTAGAGCCGCGTGTGGGGCTGTTGTTGTGTAGCTGCAGCGCGAGTTGTTTCTTTTCGCGCGCCCGGTGCTAGAAAGTCACAACCCCCATCTTGGCGCTTTGGCGGATTTAAGAAGTGAGGGAACTCTGCGCCTTCTTGGTTGCACGTCGGTTGGTTGCATCTCGTTGTCATCCGGATCCTTCACCTCCCCACACATGCCGTGTATGCGGCTAACACAGCAACCTTTACAATCGTGCGCGCCGCTTGGACTCAGTGATGCATCTAGAAGCTTGCACAGTTCTCCATCCACGCGCCGCATGGTGGGCGGCTTTAGTACTAGCATCGACCGCGCTTACCGGCTGGCCAATGAATATACGTCGTCGTCAGTCTGAGCGCGGTTGAAAACACAAAAGACTTATATATGTCATAACTGGGAGCCCATGAGGGGGCGGCGTGGGGGAGGCATAAGCTATTCCCCGGATTAAGGACAGAAACGGTAGCAACAGAGGAAAACTGCTACCTTGTACTCGAGTTCGTTTTGGAGTGTTTTCACCATCATCCTCCTTGCTTTCAGCACCATCACTCTCATCGTTGTTTTTTTTGCTATTTTTCGGCAATTCTTCTCCTCCTCTAGCCCTGCGTTGTTTTATTGCTAGCATGAACCGCGCTAACCGGCTGACCAATAAAAAGACGTCAGTGCCAGCGGGTAAAAATCAAGGTCCCTGGAAGGGGGACGAAATTCGAAAAATGCGCAATGCGCTAGATGCGAATGCCAATATGACTCTCTACATATTATTTCACGTACACACACATCTCAGCTACACAAATCCCCTCGCTCGAATCTAGGAAGCCACTGATGCAAAGAGCGGAGGACAGCAAAAGGGTTAATTCAAGCCCAACGGAAGCCAGGATATCCTGGTACANAATTCGAAAAATGCGCAATGCGCTAGATGCGAATGCCAATATGACTCTCTACATATTATTTCACGTACACACACATCTCAGCTACACAAATCCCCTCGCTCGAATCTAGGAAGCCACTGATGCAAAGAGCGGAGGACAGCAAAAGGGTTAATTCAAGCCCAACGGAAGCCAGGATATCCTGGTACAGTGCACGCAGTGATGAAGCCCGATACAGTTGGCCCTCTGTAACTTTCGATTGCGGTGGCGGAAAACAAAAATAAAGGCATCTTTTGAAACGCCCGCGGCAAGGCGCATGAGAGTAGAGCGATTAAAAAAAAAATGAAAAAATGGGGGAAAAGTGGGCGGGGGCGAGTCTCGAACCGACGAAATGGGGTGAACTTGGTCGATTATTTTTTTTCTGCTTTTTTTTTCCGGCAAATATTCGTTCGTTCTGCGGGCACTAGATGCCAGCATCGGTGCTGAAACCAAGCCCTGTTGCCACAAGGACACCTGTAACATTTTTTTTACGTTCAATCACGAGACAAACGTCCGGATGCCTAAAAAGTGGCTAAAAAATGGCATGAGTGTGCAGGTCAGGATATGGAGATTCAGGGAGCACAGATACACGTACATAACGAGTAGGATCTGAGGGAATAGGTGTTAATAGATTACTGTTCTCCGAGGGTCCCCAACTCTTCTGACCCCCAACGGCTGCGAAGAGTTGATGGATGTTTAGGAAAATGGGAAAAGGAGTCCACGAAGGCTCGCCCACTCTCCGCACCACCCTAGCTTGACTGAGTTCGCTCGGTCACGCTTGGCATTCCTCGACACATTGCACCAAAGGAAATAATAGCCAACCTCCGGTGGCAGGACACAGCCACCACAACCCCGGACTCTCCGCTCACCCAGAATAGAGGGCATCCATATAAAAAGCGGTAAAAATGTACGTAGACTAAACAGAGGATAAATAAGCAAGAAACTCAACCAATGGTGGATACCCCCTTAGACTAGGCTTTAGGTACTCGGATGGTGCTGGCTTCCTGTGCGACGTGTACACCTTGTACTGCTTCTCTCCCTCAGGGCCTACAGCACCCGTTCTTAGGTGCACTAGGTTGTGCGTGTACGACTTCTTGCAGAAGGCCTGCACGATCTGCACGGCCTGCCTATCTTCCTCTGCTCTAAAGCTCAACGGCACGTGCTCCCGCAGCTTGTTGCAGTGCTGGCGTGTCCAGTGCTTCGCGCGCCCCCAAACTAGCTCAATGGGGTTATACTCGCAGTGGTACTTCGGGAGCGTGAGACAGAACCCTCCTTGCCGTGCCATCAGGAGCTCCAGGCTGGACTCTACTTCCTTGAAGTCTTTCTGCTCTCCCAGGACATGCTCCATGCTCATGCTCTCGTCTTTCTTCTCGTCCTTGCCTCCCGACTTGCTCATGCCTTCCTTCAGGAGCCCCCTCTCCCATAAGATCTGACGCATCCCCTTGAGCTTCCCGACGTACTGCGTCGGGTCAAGGTGCGGAGCGTAGAACGGGGGCTTGTCGCCGGGTTGAAACACCAAGTGCTGAATGGTGCCCGCCGGCATCTTCAGGGGTTTTTCCTTCAGGGTTACGGCATCCATTCCGGCAATCTCTTCCCCCTTCCTCGTCCCACCGAAGCCCACGTTCATCGTCCTGACCAATGGCGCGCCCTCCATGCAGTCATGGCAGGACGACCAGTCGAACAGACCGATTCCGGCATGGCCTCTGTGAAATGTTTCCGCAGCGCAACAGCTCGTTCTCGTCTGGCCTTCTTTCCCAGGCTTCCTCTCGGCCGACCAGCATGCTCTCGTGCGCCTCCACATGCGCTGTTCGCCCTTTCTACACCCCCAACACTGGGATCTTTGAGCGAACCAGGTGCAGGGGCTGCATCTCTCTGGCTGCTGTCACGGAGGTGCGCGCTTGGTACACACTCAGGGTGGTCGTCCTTTGGTGCAAGGTCTAACCATGTGGAGGATGACACGTCGAGGATGCACGCACGTTCGACGGCAGCGTCACGCCCGCGCGGTGGCCCGGTTGTGGTTATCGGGCTGCGCCACTTGAGCTCGGTCGTGTCGCGTTCCCGTCTAACGGCTACTGAGAGCGGTACTTCCGCGGGGCCTTCCTGTCGATAGAGATGTTGCTCATTACGTTTCCATCCGGAAAAGTGTTCTGCACATACATGCTGGTACTCGTATGAGTCCTCTCCGAACTTCATGCCTCTCGTGGTCTCCTTCCCACACCCCACCGGGCCGCACACGCCAAATTGCAGAATTTGGAGAATACAGTATGAAAAAATTTTCCATACTGGAAGAAAGTGGAGTTGGGTATGTATTTGGAATCGAGTAGATACGAATGAATTTTTGGTAGATTAGCCTGCGTGCGATTATCTTTTCCTATATTGGGTAGTGTCCCGTTTCTTTGTTGAGCAATTCCTGGAGTAAACAACATATTCGCCTGATTGAGAGCGTAGCATCTGATTGAGAGCGAGATTGCGCGATACGCTGTAGCCGGACTACCACTGAGAGGTGGAGCTTGCTGTGTAGCTTGAATTGAAGGGCTAGCCCGTAGCTTCAAGCCGCTACCCTGGTCATCCTGTGGGAGTCTCTCGTTGTGGAGCTACAGCGGGGAGCAGAAGCTACAGCAGAGCCCACCGCCCGACGCGATACCGCCCTGAAACAGTTTGAGCAGAAATAGCCAATCTGGGCAAATCTAGCAACTTGTCTAGCTCCTCGCTGCAGCATCCGATGACGATGACACGCATATGCTCGCGAAGCTGCTGATGAGACCTTCAATTTGCACCGCTTCTTGGAATAGCCCGTCCCCTACTTGCCAAGAAATGGCAAGAGGCGTCTGGACCCGAAATTTCAATTTTTTTGGCTCTCGCTCTCAATCAGATACTTCGCTCTCAATTAGGCGAATATGTTGTTAGTAGTGTTGTTGTGCTCTGTTCAAATATCGTTACATGTCTATGTGCAAAATAACGCCTGTTACTGTAAATAATGACATAAAAATCATGTTCAAATTGCTTCTAGCGCTACCAAAATTGTACACGCATACTTTTGTAGGAGCCTGATAGCCTATAGCGATGCGAAAATCCGTGGGTAACCGCATATTTAACCGTCGAAACCGCAAGGGGGAACCCTGAAAATGAAACGTGTCCCTTGCAATTAGGATAATCAATTTCTGTACAGATTTCTCAAAAGTTCCCATACACCCAGGTGACAATGAAGAATTGGGAATCAAATTCCGCTGAACCAGAAATCTGCACTTCAAAGAGCCAGCCAGCGACGTCGCTGAGAGGAGCACGCATGCAGTCATTCCGGTTTTAGCTCAGCCACCCACCACTCTTGGTTTGCGGAATTAGCCGGCATTTCGGATCCAGCCGTTGTGCGATACTAATCATCTCCGATAGGACTTGAGGAGGACGGACTGTAAAGCTATAGAGTATACTGCACTGCGTTTGCTCCTTGCTGCTGCTCTTGGCTGACCCAGGACTTCGAAAAATCCCCACAGGCACGAGCAAACGTTTTTGTGTGTGGTCGAAGATGGACTGCGCCTCTGCACAAGCCCAACATGCCACCATGCACAACATACTACTGCTGCCGTTCACCTGTCGCCGTCCTTCCACGTCTACCTGTCCATGACACATGCTGCCACTTGATGCGGCAACATCTGCGAACATCACGGACACAGGGAGTACCACCCCCGTACCCATACGAACAACCTCTTATTCCTCCCTTGTCAAACACAAATGATGTAACATGCATGAAATGATAAAATCTGTCTATTTTTTCAAGTATGGTCCACGCTGCCTACAAATGGGAGAGGTAGCCATACCTCCT